GGAGGTTGGGGGAACCAGGTGGTGAGTATAAGAGAGGGCACGGACTGCATGGAGCACTGGGTGTGGTACAAAAACAATGAATACTGTTATGCTGAAAATAAATTTAAAAAATGATTAAAAAAATAAAAAAATATTTAAAAAAATGTCTATACTGCCTAGAGCAATCTATACTTCTAATGCCATTCTGATCAAAATTCCACCGGTATTTTTCACTTGATCTTAGCCAAAAGGCCAAGAAGCGATCCACCAGTATTTTTCAAAGAGGTGGAGCAAATAATCCAAAAATTTGTATGGAACCAGAAGAGACCCCGAATAGCTAAGGAAGTTCCTTTTTTTTTTTTTTTAATTTCTTTTCAACGTAACAGTATTCATTGTTTTTGTACCACACCCAGTTTTTAAAAAATTTTTTTATAAACATATAATGTATTATTAGCCCCAGGGGTACAGGTCTGTGAATCACCACGTTTACACACTTCACAGCCCTCACCATAGCACATACCCTCCCCAATGTCCATAACCCTAGCACCCTCTCCTTACCCTGCTCCCATCAGCAACCCTCAGTTTGTTTTGTGAGATTAAGTCTTTTATGGTTTGTCTCCCTCCTGATCCCATCTTGTTTCATTTATTCTTTTCCTACCCCCAACCCCCGCCCCCCCGCCATTGCATCTCCACTTCATATCATATCATATCATATCAGGGAGATCATATGATAATTGTCTTTCTCTGATTGACCTATTTTGCTAAGCATAATACCCTCTAGTTCCATCCACATCGTCGCAAATGGCAAGATGTCATTTCTTTTGATGGCTGCATAGTATTCCATTGTATATATATACCACTTCTTTATCCATTCATCTGTTGATGGACATCTTGGTTCTTTCCATAGTTTGGCTATTGTGGACATTGCTGCTATAAACATTCGGGTGCACGTGCCCCTTCGGATCACTATGTTTGTATCTTTAGGGTAAATACCCAGTAGTGCAATTGCTGGGTCATAAGGTAGCTCTATTTTCAACTTTTTGAGGAACCTCCATGCTGTTTTCCAGAGTAGTTGCTCTAGCTTGCATTCCCACCAACAGTGTAGGAGGGTTCCCATTTCTCCACACTTGATTGATTTTTTAACAGCACCCCAGGCCAATCTAATGTGCAGCCAAGGTGGAGGAGTCTTGAATTTTGTCAGAACTTTCATCCAAAAATAACTTGCATGTGTTTGTTCTTCACGGTCAAACCCTGAACATCTCAAAGTGATCAGAGATCAGAAAGGAGGAGACATGAAAGAGTTTTCTATAACCATAGCCAATGTGGTTTCCCCCCTCATATTCTTGGTAATAATTTTTTACTTATCTTTACTGGCCACACTCTACAACTGGTTCATTGGGCTGGATAATTAAGCTATTACTTTCTGTTCCAAACTTACCCTTCTATACTTGAAGTTGTGATGCTGTGGTAGGGGCTGGGAATCTTTAAACCGCTGCTCTGATTTTCCATCTGGCTTCTCCTTAAATTCTTCTAATAATGGTAATAAAGATCACAAGCGCTAATGCCCAATCTTTTCCCCATGCCTCTTTGCCTGTGATGTTGTCACTATATTGGACAGTTATGGCTCTGTTACCATACTTTTTTTTGTGCCTATCACAAAAGCATTTAATCATATGTATAGTAAAATTAGTTTCATTGTAATAACTAGTGTGGTTTCTCTTTTCTTGATTGAACTCTGACTGACATATCATAATATAGGGAATAAATCTAGATTGTGAGTGAGATGCAATGGGGAGATTGCTGAGTGAGCTCAGGATAAAAAGGTGACTGTAGGGGCGCCTGGGTGACTCAGAGGGTTAAGCCTCTGCCTTTGGCTCAGGTCATGATCTCAGGGTCCTGGGATTGAGCCCCATGTCGGGCTCTCTGCTCAGCAGGGAGCCTCTTCCCTCTCTCTCTGCCTGCCTCTCTGCCTCTTTGTGATCGCTCTCTGTGACAAATAAATAAATAAAATCTTTTAAAAAAAGGTGATTGTAATGATATCTCTTGGTCAAGGGTACACAGTTGAGGTTTCAAGTAGTGGTGATATTTCCAGTGGCTGTGTGGTTCTAATTGTGCCTGTAGATTGAGTCACCTCTGTCATTATGGATAAATTTAACTCTGATCCTCATTTTCATTACTCAAGGATAGTGAAGGACCATGTCCTCAGCAAAGGAGAGATCTTTCCTTTCACTAGCAACACCCCTCACTAGGATTCTACTTTGTCACCATGCTTTCTTCTCTCATGATCAGTCATCTTTGGGTCCTTCCATCTTCTGCTACACATCCAGGAACCCATGTACATACCAGTATTTCCTTTACAGATGCTGCACATAGTTTCTGAGGTAGCAATCTGGGCTTTTTGAAATGCTCTCTAACAACTGCTTTAATTTGCTCTGTCTTTACACTAAGCAAATAGGCTGCCAACCTCACTGACAATGAACTTAGTATTGGATGGGCTCTTCCTGCTATCAAGTGGCTTCATTTTAATACGATTTTCCTCCTGTTCAAGAATTCTAAAACATCTCAACACTCACACCTCCTTCTCCAATCCTCTATACTCCCGTCATTTGGTCATTTGGGCTCTCTAAAATTTTCCTCTGTCATTTATGTACACCTACATAAGCACAATTTCTTACACACTCAGTATAATTGGGTAAAGACTGAAGTTTCCTTCACATCAGTTAATGAGAAATCAAACTCTGAGTTTGTCTTCCAGCCAAGCCTTGAGATCATCCACATTTTGAATGTAGAGATCTCTGAGAACCCCTGAAGTATTTAAGCAAGTGATCAAGTCACGAGATAAGTATGTAAAAATAAACAACTGTCTAATATAATAACACACATCACTGAACAGAAAAATTAAAACCTGAGCTATCTCTCAAAACAGCAAAAAACATACATCTCCAATGCACAAATCCCAAACCCCAAACCAGGAGTATAGAAAGAAAAACAGAAAGTTCTCCTTAGAGACATATATTTTAACTGAGAAAACAGAAATTCAATAAGATTCCTTGGATAGAAGACCTAATTCTTTCTAAAATACATGATTAAGTCAGTGGCTGTACAGATATAAAACTCATATGTTGCTCTCTGTAGTTGAAAAAAAAAATGTGTCTGAATTTTACGATGAGATAAGCGACTTGGAAGTCAGAAATGCGGAATAAAAGTCAGCTTCTTCCTGAGAAGAGGAGGGGATCTAGATACCACCCCCCACCCAGTACATTCACTTTTCTCCATCAATTAATAATAGCAAGTCCTTAGAGATTGGGAGAACATGGACCAATCTGACTAATTAGGTGCCAAGTGCTTTGAGCCCTCAACTGTAAACAATCAGCCTGTGCTTTCCAGCCGTTTAGTTGTCAGTCCCAGGTCAGTGGGCTCCATACAGGTGTCTCCTCCTCCCAGAGCTGTCTGCTTGAGGACACCCATACCGGCATCTGTCTTCCTGCCAGTGCTGGAAAAAAAGCCTTGGTCCTCACCCAGCTCCAGGCAGTGGAGAGGCAGCCAGCTCTGCAATCCTCCATCCTCCTCCAGCAGGGACACAGTACAGACCAGTGAGTAGGAAGTACAGTGGGGGTGACTGAATGCAGGAGGGACAGGGAGAGCATTGTTCCCTCCTCATCAGACCACTGGAACAGTTGGGATAGCCAGACAGGAGGGGACCAAAATGCAAAGGTCCAACGCGAAGCCCTATAAAGACCTATGTTGTTGGCTCTGGCAGGGACCCTAGCACTCTTATTTAGATTTCTATTTTTGTCTCTTGCTAGTTCTATTTCTCCTGGGCATCTTCCCATCAGAACAGGAAATAGTTCCTTTTTAACTGTTCCCTGAGTCCTCCAAATGATCATGAAGGTGATGATGATGGTGAAGAAGGAAATGATATCAGTAAACACAATGTTGCAAACTTTTAGTTTGGGACTCCAAGTGCCAGACACTGAGATGAATTTTCTACATAGTTTGCAAACTTTTATCTGCATTACCACCCCGCAAAGACAGCAACATGTATTATGATCATTTCAGAGTTAAGGATAGGAGCACAATATTTTTTTTCACTTCCTGATTTTATTTATTTATTTTTGTGTTCAACTCACCTTTTAAAAAAGTTTTTATTTAAATTCCAGTTAGGAGAAGGACAGGAAAAAAAAAGGGGGGGGTTGGAATCATGAGAGACTATGGACTCTAGGAAACACCCTGAGGGTTTTAGAGGGGAGGGGGGTGGGGGATGGGATAGCCTGGTGGTAGATATTAAGGAGGGCATGTATTTCATGGAGAACTGCGTGTTATATGCAAACAATGAATCATGGGACATTACATTAAAAATAGTGATGTAGTACATGGTGACTAACATAATAAAAAAATAAATTCCAGTTAGTTAACATATGGTGTACTATTAGTTTCAGTTTTACAATATGTTGATTCAACACTTCCATACATCACCCAGTGCTCATTAGGACAAGTCCCTCCTTAATCCCTTCACCTATTTCACCCATCCCCCACCCACCTCCCCTCTGGTAACCATCAGTTTGTTAGGAGTCTGTTTCTTGGTTTTCCTCTCTCTCTCTCTCTTCCCCGCCCTCCTTCGCTAGTTTGTTTTGTTTCTTAAATTCCACATCTGAGTGAAATCACATGGTAGTAGTTAGTCTTTTTCTGACTGACTTCTTTTGCTTAGTATAATATTCTCTAGCTCCATTGCAAATCTCATTCCTTTGATGGCTGACTAGTATTCGATTGTAAACATACAGCACGTCTTCCTTATCCATTCGTCAGTCGATGGACACTTGGGCTGTTTCCCAACAGACACCCAACAACACTGTTGTTGATAATGCTGCTATGAACATCGGTGTGCATGTATCCCTTTGAATCAGTATTTTTTTTTTTTTAGAAAGATTATATTTATTTATTTATTTGTCAGAGAGAGAGAGATAGCAAGAGAGGGAACACAAGCAGGGGGAGTGGGAGAGAGAGTGTGTCTCTTTTGTGACACAAAAGAGAAAATTGTGGGCTGAGCTGAGTCTTGGTACTGGTGGCCACCATGTCCTTGAAGATCCAGACAAGCAACGTAACTAACAAGAATGACCCCAAGTCTATCAACTCTCGGGTCTTCATCGGAAACCTCAACACAGCTGTGGTGAAGAAGTCAGATGTGGAGACCATTTTCTCCAAGTATGGCCGTGTGGCCGGCTGTTCTGTGCACAAAGGCTATGCCTTTGTCCAGTATGCCAACGAGCGTCATGCCCGGGCAGCTGTGCTGGGAGAGAATGGGCGGGTGCTGGCCGGGCAGACCCTGGATATCAACATGGCTGGAGAGCCCAAGCCCAACAGACCTAAGGGGCTAAAGAGAGTGGCATCTGCCATATACAGGCTCTTCGACTATCGGGGCCGCCTGTCACCTGTGCCAGTGCCCAGGGCCGTCCCTGTGAAGCGACCCCGGGTCACAGTCCCCTTGGTCCGGCGCATCAAAACCACCATACCTGTCAAGCTCTTTGCCCGCTCCACAGCCATTACTGCCAGCTCAGCCAAGATCAAGTTAAAGAGCAGCGAGCTGCTGACCATCAAGACAGAGCTGACACAGATCAAGTCCAGCATCGACGCTCTGCTGGGCCGCTTGGAGCAGATTGCTGAGGAGCAGAAGGCCAACACAGATGGCAAGAAGAAGGGCGAAAGCAGCAGTGGCAGTGGTGGGGGTAGTAGTGGTGGCAGCAGCCGGCCACCGGCCCCCCGAGAGGACACGGCTTCTGAGGCAGGCACGCCCCAGGGAGAAGCACAGACTCGAGACGACGGCGATGAGGAGGGGCTGCTGACACACAGTGAGGAAGAACGGGAGCACAGCCAGGACACAGACGCGGAGGATGGGGCCTTGCAGTAAGCAGCCTGGCAGGAGTGATGGCCACCGGCAGCAGAAGGGCATGCACCGTACCAGGCCTAAAGCTGGGCAGGAAGGCTTCCTGCTGAGCGGGAAGCCTGAGGCGGAACTTGATCTCAGGACTCAGAGATCATGACCAGAGCACAAGGCAGGTGCCTAATGATAGAGCCACTCAGGTGCCCCATGGATCAGTATTATTTTGTCTTTTAAATACCCAGTAGTGCAGTTACTGGATCATAGGCTAGTTCTATTTTTAACTTTCTGAGGAACCTCCATACTGTTTTCCAGAATGGCTCTACCAGTTTGCATTCCTGCCAACGGAACATGAGTGTTCCTTTTTCTCCACTTATTCACCAATTTTTGTTTCTTGTATTGCTGAATTTAGCCACTCTGACAGGTGTGAAGTAATATCTTTTTATTTTTTTATTTTTTATTTTTATTTTATTATTTTTTTAGTAATATCTTATTGTAGTTTTGATTAGCATTTCCCTGACGATGAGCAATGTTGGCCATCTGTATGTCTTCTTTGGAAAATTATCTATTCATGCCTTCTGTCCATGTTTTAATTGGATTATTTGTTTTTGGGGTGTTGAGTTTCATAATTTCTTTGCATATTTTGGATACTAACCCTTTATCAGATATGGCATTTGCAAATATCGTCTCCCATTCCATAGTTGCCTTTTAGTGTTGTTGATTGCTTCCTTTACCATGCAGAAGCTTTTAAAATTTTGCCAGATCCTGGGGTTGACGGGGCATGAATTCAGGTTTGAATGCAGACAGCGAGACTGTTCACAGGCGACCCAGACAGTCTTCTCTCCTGCCTATCCAATTCCCACCTCTCTTTCCTGTTACTCCAGGCAAGGACCTCCACTCACTGTGCTCTTCCTGTTTGGCTGTTCATGCTAGAAGACACCAGAGAGCAGTTATTGCCACCTGCTGCATCAACTGTAGAAAAGATGGCTGAGGTGAAGGTAGAGATCATAAAGAGTCAGCTCATGACAATTAGGGTAGCTCTCTTTCTCGCCTCAGCTCTCAGATTTTGCTTCATATTCCACTTCCTCCCCCATTCCTATAATTTAGGCCCTCTTGATCTCTAAGAGAGATACAGGGTCAGGATGTTAGATTCCATTCTTAGTCAGGAGATAAAAAACTGTTGCAAGATTATCTTAGCAATTTTGGAAAAGACCTCTGGACTTCTGCTGAAACTCTCTGAAGTGCAGGGAAACAGAACAAACAAGTCAGTTCATGCACCTCAGAGACCCACCACTTAATTCTGAATCCTATCTGCTCTAACTTTCATCCGTATGACACTGGGTGAGTTCTTGATGTCTTTGAGCCAGTTTCTACAACTGTACTGAGCAAGAATTAAGATGAGCACTGAACACGTGTCTAAATATGTTAGACGCATATAGTAAGGATAAGGTAAATTTTAGGTATTGTTGTGGTTGTTATTGTCATTATCAAGGCTAAGCACCATCTATCCAACTAAAATATCCTGTGATCAGAAGGTTCAGTTCTCCCTAGATCCTGAAAGAACTCTTTTTTTTTT